GTGGACTTGGAAGAAACAGAGGCCCGGCCCGGACGGCTGTGGCCACAGACAGACTGTGACCTGGAGGAACTGCCAGAGGTGCCAGCCCCCAGTGACAGGTGACCTGCCATGTAGCCAGGTGTGCTGGGAGGGGGAGTGTGGAAGGAGCCCAGGGCAGGCATCCTTAGTCTGGCTGGGCCAGAGCTGGGGTGAGCGGCCCGCCGGGGCTGGGAGCCCCGCCTGTGTGCGTTTTCCCCCCCCCCCACCAACCAAGGCCTGGGCCGGTCCCTCAGCACTGTCTGTTGCTGCCCCACTCTGAACCCCGTTAGGAAGCAGCCAGGCAGCCACCAGCAGCCTCCCCAGGCCCTCAGCACTGTCTGTTGCTGCCCCACTCTGAACCCCGTTAGGAAGCAGCCAGGCAGCCACCAGCAGCCTCCCCAGGGCTCAGGCTGGCATCAGTTGCAGGCAGGGACCATCAGGCATCGCTGAAGGGAGGTCTGTGGGTGAGTCCCAGGGGGGTAGTGGTTAAGGCATGAGCCTCTGCAGCCTGGCACCTCAGAACTTTGTGTTTGCCCTGAGCCGGGACCAGACCACTGTTGGCTCAGCCTGACCGTAAGCCCAAGCCCCCGAACTGCCTCCCCAGGAGAGACTGAGCTGGGTGCAGTGAGGCAGTGGCCGCCCTCTGACCCAGCGGGAAAGGATTCCTCCCAGGGCCTGGTGGGCTGCAGAAAGACACGCACAGAAACAATCTCCCGACCATCCCAGGCACTCTGAGCGTCTGGCCCGTCTCCAGGCACTTGGCTGTGACGTCTCCCCGCTCCCAGACTCTCCCGTACCCCGGGGATGTGGCACCGCTTCACAGCACGGTCAGAGATGGGCCCAGCTCTCCCAGGGCAGCCCAGAGCTGAGGTAGCTCATAGGTCTGCTGAGGACCAAACACATTTGGCAGGTTGCTGGGTTTGGGGAGGAACGTGGGGGACTTATTGGGACAGGAGGCAGCCCAGAGCCAGAATGCACATGGCCACACACCCCCGCCCTGACAGGTAGCCTTGTGACCTGGTCTGGCTTGTTGATTCTATAACACCGCACCCCTGCTTGTTCTCCCAGCCTTTCCCTGGGGCGCTGCTCATGGTCTCAGGATTTGGTCCATTAGTAGCACTCAGAATGGGAAGGAGTCAGAGACAGAGAACGTCTCTGGTGGTTGCTTTTGGGTTATTTTGTAGGAAAAGCCACGGCAGGAGGTAATACAGTGGCGGCCAGTCTGTGAGTCCCGGGTTAGTGTATGTGACCAGGCGTTGCATTGTGTGTTCTCATTGACGCTGGTCTGTAAGATGGAGGGAATTTTTTTGATACCCTGCTGAGCGGAGTCTGTCCTTTGTGAGGGGGAAAAACCACCGAAGGCAGGAATGGCTCTGAGTTTCCTTTATTGCAGAGACAGGTGGGGAGTCAGCGATGCTGTCAGGAGCCCTGGGAATGGAGGCTGAGATGACAACATGGCTCCCCTAGTGAGAACTAGCGCCTACAGTTCCTCAACCTTGTGCCCAGTTTTGTCACATGGCTGGCATTCTCCATCGTGCTCAAAGCAAAGACTTCCAAGCTGTTTACTAGGGGGAAAGACAGAGACACAGAGCTTAGTGTTGCAACACCCTGGCCAGTCGGAGCAAGCTTCTATCCAGGCCCCATTACATCAAATGACCAGAGCCCTTTGGCTGGCAGCAACAATTATTCAGACACTTGACCCAGGCTCTAGGACAACACTTCTTAAAGGCTGGTGTGCTGCGAGGGAGTCGGATGTGTGCCTCGGAGGGAACAGAATTCAAAATGGCTTCCCTTAAAGGGACAAGCCTCCTTTTTTTCTTTTTGTTTACTTTTGCTCAACAACTTTTTTCCCTGGGTTTTTTTTTTCACCCCCTGGGTAATGGTTGCCCTTTAAAGGGGCAAGCTTCTTTTTTTTAATTTTTTTTTCCTCTCAACAAAAAAATCCTTGCTGTTCCCCATGGCTGCGTCTAGACTGGCAAATTTTTCCACAAAAGCAGCTGTTTTTGCGGAAAAACTCGCCAGCTGTCTACACTGGCCGCTTGAATTTGCGCAAGAACACTGACGATCTAATGTAAGATTGTCAGTGTTCTTCTGCAAAAACTATGCTGCTCCCACTTGGGAAAAAGCCCTCTTGCGCAAATGCTTTTGCGCAAGAGGGCCAGTGTAGACAGCTAAAAACTGTTTTGTGCAAAAAAGCCCCGATGGTGAAAATGGCGATCGGGACTTTCTTGTGCAAAACCACGTCTAGATTGGCACGGACGCTTTTCTGCAAAAAGTGCATTTGCACAAAAGTGTTCGTGCCAATCTAGATGCTCTTTTCCGCAAATGCTTTTAACGGAAACACTTTTCCGTTAAAAGCTTTTGCGGAAAATCATGCCAATCTAGACAAAGCCTATAAGTTTAAGAAACACTTCTCCACGAGGTAGAAACCTCTGGGTGCAGGCAGGGGTTTGAGTGGCATCACAATTGCATTTTACGTGGTATAAATAGGAGGTATGTTCTGTTACTTACAAGACAGCAGCACAAAAGACGCATTTATTGCTGTATGTCTTGCCATCAGTGCCACAGACGGGCTTGTATTCCATGGTGCACATTTCGGGAGGTTCGGTGAACTCACTACAGTAACCCTGCAGAGAACATCAGTAT